CAAGGACAATTGTGTCTAGTAAGTATTGCTGCAAAGGAGAGATCAAGGAAACAGCGGAGCTAGGAAGAAGAAAAATCTAGTGTTTGTGGTTTTTGGTTTGAGTCGTTAATGCTGCTTTGGTTGCCATTCAGAAAGCAGTTAAGCTTTGAAATATGCATGAAGTTTCCCATGTGCAAATCAGTGTACAAAGCATTGTGCTAACTGGGCCATGAACTGTCTTGCAGCAATGAGCAACTAGTGACTGAGACTTCAGAATAGTGCCTGAATCAGTATCTGGGAGGTAATTTTCAGTTAGAGCTCTTCCCCAGCTGAGTCCAGCTGAACAGAACAAAATACCCGCAGAGACGGATCATTTTTCCAAACAATGCATTATTACATTGCCCAACAAATGCTTCCTATATACCATCCAAGCTCGCTTTGCCCAGGAGACATGAGATTTCCTCAGACAACATATTAACTTACTGTAGAGTAAGATTTAATGGTGGGAACCTCAGTCTAGGGTCTCCAGAGAATAAATCCATTTATCTGTTCTATGCAAAGGAGCCAGCACGAGCCATTAGGCAAATTCCTAAATCCCCATGCTAAGCCAAATGCACCATTTGGGTCAAATTCTGGTGCCCCTGCAGCGCTCCCCGAGGCTCCCCGCCACTCCCATCTTTGGCAAACATAAATGGTATGTTGAATTTGGAACCAGCAGCAGTTCTCCGAGAGGTGAAATCTAACCTAGGACTAGGAGGCGAGTCCCAAGTAGAGTTCAGCCCTTCAAGCTGCTGAGCGCTCCAGCCCTGATCCAGTGAGCCACTTTGTCATGTGCTTAACTGGAAGCGCATGGCTGGTCCTACGGAGTCACTTGGATGCCTTGCGTGCTTCATGTTCAGTGCATTAGATGCTGTCCTGTACTGGGACTAAGGGGCTCAGCATCATGGACTGAGCACAATGTGTGCAGATCTGAGATGGATAGGACCATCCCACCTCTGGCTACCACGGAATTGCTATGACAGGGTAATAATCGCAGAGCGTTTGGTACGTGAGGTCACACGAGAGACTGGGGACTTTGATGTGATAAACTTGGGATTTCTTCTAAAGCTATGGTGGCAAAGTGAAAGAGTGCAGAATTTGGCTCTTTTGTACAGTGTCTCTATTTAAACACGTTATAACCATATGCTCTTAATACATGCCTTGTTCACCCTGTATAAAACTGACCTTTGATAGAAATGCCCAGAATAGCAGATGGCTTTTCTCAGGATCTAACGGACACAAGCATGCTGTAAGAAATCACTTCTTTTGAGAAATGCTATTTAATTCTCACCCTAATGAGCATAACCCCCATACTCTGAGACCCTTCTTTTGGGAAGGTAACATTTGCAAGTATCTGAGTGTAGGCAGGGACTGGATGGCCGAAAATTCAATATCCATCTAGCAGATGTTAAACAGGGTCATCCTTAGTTCTTTAGCATAGACTTCTGTTTCTGCCAGTTAGTGAAGATAGTAAATAATAACTATGCTCTTCTCCCCGCCCCGCATGAGTATTAATTGGGACATTGCAACAGACAAATGCAAATCATGCAGCAGCAGACTGATGACAGCATGAGAGTTCAATCCTGACATCCTTGGATTTGTGTTCAAGCTCACTGACAGCACATTTTTCTTGACTGGATATAATTCAGATAAAGATGCATCATTCATTTGTAGATTTTAAAGCCAGACTAGACCACTGTGGTCACCGGGTGGAACTTCCTGCGTAGTGCAAGCTACAGAGATGCACCGAGTAACACACGAATCAAGCTCATATTGTCTGGTTGAGCAAGAACACATCTTATTATAAATGTAACTAGTCTGAATTTAAGGAGTATACATGATGGAGAATCTGTGGGGTGGGGTTCCTAGGTGGGTTGTCCCTGTGGTTAATTACTGTTACCATTGAAATGTTGCATCTTTATGTTTAAACTAAAATTGCCCAGCTTCAGCACCCAGGAAGCCCTGACAACAGTTGGATCTTCTGAGTGCTATGACTATGGCCCATTGTGCTGATTGGTATTGTCTCGTCGCATCCATCCTGTTAGTTTGTATATCTCTGCTTTCTCTTATCTTGTACTCAGGCTGTCTGCAGTTTGGAGCAGGGACAGTCCTTTTGTTCTGCATTTGTACCCGGTACACTGGGCTTCAGAGCCAGCGCCGAGGATCGTAGGTGCTACCATAATACTGCTACTACGACTTGTGGTCACTCTCCCTGGCCAATGCCATGCCCATGCTCAATCAGCTCTTGACTGCAGCTACAAAGTCCTTTTTAATCTCAAAGAATCATAAAATTGTAGGATCGGAAGGGGCTTTGGGGGACATCTAGTCTATCCCCCAGCACAGACGCAGGCTCCACAATTTTATGTTCCAAAATACAGTCTCCCATATTTTCAGAGTGATCTACAGTTTTGTTCCTAGCTGTACCTGTTTTAAAATGCTTGTTGGCCAAATGAGGCTTCTTAACCCAGCAGTCCATATAGATTTACATGACTAACCTGTATCCATCACTTTCAATACACCTCCAAATCGTGTGTCAATTTGAATATATGATGTACACACAACAAGAATTGTTTGTTTCCATGAGTGTCGTGAGATTGTGATTAGAAAGTTTCATGTAACCCACAAATTTTGGGCAGGATGGCATTTGGTGAACCTGACTCAGCTAACTTTGATGACTGGCTGAATTTCATATTCATCCACTCATCAAAGAGGACAAAAACATGTATTTAAGCTACTGCCATGCCAACGCATATTGATTTAGATGCAGTTATTGTCTGTGTTCCTCCCTTTATGAGAAGGACGTGTACTTCATTGATGCTCATGTGTGGTGTTCTTGTCTGCCTTTAATACCTTTTGAATTTGTTTAAAGGCCTGTCTAAGCCTCTGAGAGGACATACTGTCATATGGAGGTGGATGAGGGGGAGACAGACTTGGTATGAGCATTTACATCTACATTATATTGCTCCTTCTGTATGCTATATTTGTGAATGCAGCATGTTATACATTTCTGTGTGACACACTTGGTGCTAACCATTAATGCTAGTGTGGATTTGAAATAATATTGTGCATTGTTGTCCAAGAAAGCAATAACAATAGATTCAAAATTAGCGTTATAGTGATCTAAAAATATCAGTATCCTATATAAGTCCTTCAGGCAATTACTCCAGCTTTCTGTTGTCTGCACTGCACCTGTGCTTAACTATGCTAAGTTGCCCTATTAGAGTTTTGTGTCTTCAGGCACTCAGTGCAGTTATGTAGAAGGCTGCTTGTAACAAAGGCCCATTAACTCGCTAAAAAGTAAGCTATCTATCAATGAGACTTCCTGGAGTACATTACTTCTCCACCACAACACCCAGCTCCCTACCACACACTTTCCCAGCCTGCTCACAGTATTCCTGAGGGGGTTATCATCAGGCCTCCTGAACAGAGAAAAACCAGGGAAGAAAGACGTTTGTTCCCACCCCCCCTGCTTTACAGAACTGCACCAACCATCAGGTTTGCATTAAGACTTGGAGGAGCTTGCAACATACAGTTTGTTCTAAATTGCTGCAATTCCTTTTTCTAGTATCTGGTTTCAATGCGATGCTTGAAGCAGCTGCTACTGGTCAAAAGGACATTTTGTAAATGCAAGTCTGGGATTATCTGTGCAAATAAGTGTCCAAATTTAAATCTTCTGTTTCCAACCACGGAGAAAATGACAGAGGCTGGTACTGAAAGGATTTCTTTGTGCAGAACAAATGGACTGGGGAGAATTTGTTTCCAACTTTGTTTTACTGGCGCCAAATCCAGAGAATTCACTAGCAACTGGGAACTTTAAAGAAAACTCAGATTCCCCCATTCTAAATTAAGAAAGAAATACTACAATTCAGTGGGTGATTTGGAGCTGGGATAACTCCTGGTATTTTGGGGAAGTGAAGAATAAAACTCACTAATGTCTATGCTTTGTGGTTCTGAACTATTTGTTCCTTGCTTAAAAAACAAGGCCAAACATTTTAAGCCTGGTTAATGGAGGTTAGGCTCCTCAGTCCACAACAAGGAACCTGACAAGAAGTGGCTTGATGTAAAAGAAAATAGTTAAATTTGGCTGCCTGTCTTGCATGTACAGATTGCCGGTCCACACACACAGGATAGGTACTGGTGAATCACATTGTGCTCGCTCTGTTTTTACTCCAGTTCACATTTGATGTGTGCAAGTAAAGGACTATGGGGGGATCCTGCAGGTGTTTTATTGTGATGTGTGCAAGCAATCTCACTGAAAGCCAGTGAGATCACTTGCCTGCAGGAATTGAAGCAAGAATGTAAGTGTGTACAGGATCGGACCTACCACCCAAACTGACTGCAGACAATGAATACAGGCATCGATGGGTTTTATGTTCAGCACTTAGGCAGCTAGTTTTGAAGAGCTGATTCTTGAGAACCTAGCCTTTGGCGCACAAACCTGAACGTTTGGACTGTTCTGCAGGCACTATGGGGGGGGGGAGCCCAGATCAGATCAGATCAGTAGACCCCCTACGTGCAGAAACCTGGTCACTGAAGCATTGAGTCCACTATCCTATCTTTGCAGGTGACTGTACCACAATCCCTTTCACAAACTGATCAAACTGTCTCCAGTAACAGATGTGTGCTTTATGTTTTGAACTTGAATGAAAAGTTTCATATTTCTTTCTTATTGGCTTGCTAAATTTAATCAATAATAGACATACTTCTGTATTTGCAGGAAACATGCAGCACTTGACAAATACTGGGTGCATCTGTGTACTGTACTTTATGTGGAAAACATAATCCAAGAATGAGTGGGAGGGTGCAGTGAGTTTTCATGTAGCTCTGGAAACCAGAGCTCCAAAGCTTGCTTAGCTTACAATTAAAAATAAGATGGTTCATTTTCTCCTAGTTCCTGTTAGAAAACCACTACCCACTGTTGTATGACTGCCAATCTCTGCTCAAGAGTCAGGCAGGCCTATGTTATTATGTGGTGTGCTTACTTCGGCAGGATGGAATCTCGCAGTATTTCCAGTACACTCCGTCCTCATGCTCTGCAATGTAGCACCATGGGCTGACATCTCCATCAGGGTTCCTGTCAAAGGAAGGAGATGCAAAAAGATGTCAAACATTAACATACTTGTGAGCCGCATGAAGACTCCCAAGTGTTGCATTAGATCTAAAGTTTCATCACCACTGTTACTTTAACTTGCACTGAGTGTTTCACCAGCTCTAATGACTGAGAAGAATGCAGAAGTGAGGCTACCGCACTGTAAACCCTACTGCATTAGTTGTATCCTGTGACAAATGCTTGAATTAGATTGGCAGATCAGAAGAGGACTGCAGGTACGGCATGTCTGCGTGGGAAACTTACCGTGCCAGTCAGTGGTGCCATCGAGCATGCTGCACAGCCCCACGTGAGCTGCCTCCCGGATTGGAAGCCCTGTAGCTATGTGCAGTGCTGCAAATGGACTAATTCACACTGCTGAATGAGCAAGTGCCAGTGCCATTTTGTCTGCCCCTGCAATACTTAGGCTGCCGTTGGTGCTCCATGAAGGTAGCTACACGTCATCCAGGTTGGGAGGCAGGTCATGAAGAGTGGAGAGGTATGTCTGAGGGTGCCAGTGCTGGACATAGTCAAATTACTGTGCGGACATGGCTTTTGATGCTGAAATTCCTCATCCAGCCTCAGCACCGTGGCACAAATAATGGGAGCGGTCCACACCTTTTCACTTTCAGTGCCAAACCACTGACCCCCACATGATATCAGGCAGGGAAGTAAAATTCCTCACTATTGTGGTCCTTATGCCTATGTTAGCTTAGATGACTTGCGGCTAATTCAGATGTAATTCCTAGGCATGGGATTTTCTTCAAAAACAGTGTGAAGGTAAAAGGTAAGTCTAAGTTAGGGAGGTCCAGAGTCAGAACTGGAAAG